AGAATAAAAAATCCTGGATATCCATTTAAGTTGTTTATTTAATGATTAAAATTGGCACATAAAAAAAAAAAAAAAAATTTCTATTAGACACACCAATTTTACAAGAGGTAGCCATCTTAATCGTCCTCTCATTGAACAATATTTGGTTTGCAATTGCTATATTATACTTGATGATATTAAAAAATTTATTATTGATTGAAGCGTTCACATCATAATGTCACTAATGTTCGCGATGTTACTCATACAATCATTTTTTTGCAATACTAATCTCCTCGTCGGTGACGAATGTTGTCTTAGTTTTATACCAGCTTCTTTAAGAATTTGATAGGTCAAATCATCCATACCATATATTCTTGGAAATTTGCGCATAAACAATTATACGTTAATTTGATCAGTAATTAAATTATGCAAACGTTACAAAATCAATATTTTATAGTACAGTCGTCCTCCCATATAATCACCTCCCATTATAGTCACAAACTCTATATAATCACACCAAAAATATGATCCCGTTTTTTTAATATTAAAAACGCCTCTATAAAGTCACAATCATATTATAATCACTATCACATTTTTTTAGAATTTGTTGGCCAATTTTAATAATAAAATTACTTCTTTACAATCATATTTATATGTGATTATAGATAGTTTCTATTTAGAAAGTTATGATTTTAATAATTAAATCAACTTTTGTGCAATAAGTAAAGGTGTTTGAAAAAATAAAATACACCTACTGTTAAATTTTTATGCAAATTGTATAATTTTTATTAGTATTGTTTCTCATTTAGCGTACCTACAAATATATAGTAGCTAAAAAATTACAAATTTTTAGCTATATTTGTAGATATGTAAAATGAGAAACAATACTAATAAAAAATTATTCGATTTGTATAAAAATTTAACAGTAAGTGTATTTTATTCTTCCAAACAACTTTACTTATTATATTTAATTATTAAAATTGTAACTTTTCTATATAGAAACTAACTACAAACATATATAAAATTTTTAAAATACCTCTACTAAATCACTTTTTTTATATTATTTATAATTTGTGCTTATATAGAAGTACTTTTATAAAATTGTACCTTTTTATAATCACCATATTAGGATGTGTCCAACTGTGTGATTATAGGGAAGGACAACTATATTTATTCTTACTTGTTATAGACAATTTCAGTAACTCTTGATTGAATTAATTTTACCGAGCATCTTTAAAATATTTAATTATAAAATCAAATTTATTATAAAGAAAAAAACAGCTCAATTAAATAAAGATCGATGAAACATATTTACATACTAAGGCATGGACACCTAAAAAAAAAAAAAAAACTAACAAACAATATAATTAGTTTGTTCACAATTACTATATGCTCTTAACTTCTTATTACTATTATTTTTATCTTGCTTAGATTTATTGTGAATTTTGATAGAACTTTTCTGCCGCTTGGATAATGGTTTTTCATAACACTTAATAACATGTAGGTTGAAAATTTTTTTTGATACTGACTCACTAATTTCTTCATTTGTATTGTCATATAATTCATCTAAAACTTGATTAAATATATTTAAAACATTATATCATTGTTTTTCTGTAGCAATTTGAGCAATTTTATAACCAAGCCCAAACAAATCACTATAAAGATGCCTTTTTTCAATGTTCTTATTAACATCATTAGTTGTATCTTCTAAATCTTCTCTAAATATACTTAAAATTGTTGATTAGGGTTCCTAGGCTCAGTTCAGTTCAAGTTCAGATTAAATAAACCTGAACTGAACCTGAACCTGAACCACAAACTTTGCAGATCTTTGAACCTGAACCTAAACTGAACTTTGAATTTATGAACCTGAACTGAACCTGAACTTAAAGTTCAG